ACTGCCCAGGACATGGTGTCAAACTGTCCTGATGGGGGATCTGGGCGGGGATGGAGGGGACAGCTGGAGGACTATTGAAGAGGTAAGGCTGACAGGCCACCTCATGGTCACCTTTCCCATTAGGGGAAAAGTGAAGGTGTAGAAGGAAATGCATGATCCCCATGTCCCCATAGCCATGTGGGTGGGAGTGGTGGCATTGGTCAGGATGGGAGACACTAGAGAAAATCCAAATTTGGGGAAAAGGTGGCTCAGGCTTGGACATGTTGAAGGAACATGGAGCCCTTTAATTGCATAACTAGGCTTTGGAGGAGGGAATCTGCGCTGGGGTTATCAACATGAAGGAGTTGGTGGGGACAAAAATATGGTCCTGGTGTCTGAGGAGTGCTGCGAGCAGGGCCTCTAGGCTGCACAACTTCAGGGGGTGCTGTGATAGCCTATAGAATATGAAGTGCGTGGTGTCTCTGGAGTTGTCCATGCAACAGAAGCATTTGGAAGTCGCCAGTGAGTGGCAAGCGCTCTTTCAAAGAGTTGACTGCGTAGGAAGAGAAAGAAGCTGGTGCTGGACAGGAAGTTTTCAGAGCCCTTGGCCTGTACTCTCCAAGCAGCCCCCCAAAACATTCCAGCTGGGCCAAATGCCTTCTCTGCACCTGCTGTAGACCCCCATGCACATGTCCAACACAGCACACACAGCAGCTGCCGCTCAGGCCCACATCACCTCCTCTCAGCACCTTCTGATTCCTCACCTGGAAAGTGCAGTTCTGAGAGGGCTGCCTCTGTGCAGACAGAGATGCATCTCCATGCCCACTGCAGTCATTTGCCTTCTGCCCTCGGCACCTCCAGTTCTAGGGAGCCTAGGCAGCCCTGTGCACCACACCACGCTGATGATGGCCCAGAGAAGATCAAGGGAGCAGGAGTGGAAGCAGAGGGAAAGGACAGGTGCAGCTGGTCCAGGGGAGAGGTGATAATGAACTTGACCAAAATGCCAGTGGTATGCATTTGGTAGGTAGGGGTGGTGACAAGTGACTGGATTCACCATCTGTCCTGAAGGTAGGACTGGTAGGACTCACCTGATGGGTTGGGGTGGGGTGGGAAGGGATGACTCCTGGGTTTGGGGCCTGAACTGTGGGGAGAGTAAGGCCACTTACTTAGGTGAGGAAGACTCTGGGAGGAAGAAGCATGGATGTGTGGTATCAAGGATGCAGTCACAGTATAATTCTGAGATCTGTGCCAGGCATCCAAGTGGGGCTGCTGAGCCAGCTGAATAGAGTTTGGGGGAGAAATCCTGCCTGGCCACTTGGACTCATCAGCATCCAGATGGCCCTCTAAGGACTGGGTGATACCATCTAGGGAGAGAATGGCAAATCATCAAGTTGTTCCCTAAAGCAGTGACACACAACTAAACTTCGCTGTGTGCTGGAATCACATGTAGCTGGATCACCTGTGATTTGTTTCCTGAGCAGGTCCTGAAAGCCAGCACTCAGAAAGTCCTGGCCTTGGGGAGAAGCCTAGGAAGCCAATGCCCCAGGTGATTCCCATGCAGTGACATGGTGAGAGTGCCCTGAGGGGTAGGTAGAGGCGATATGGGGAAACAGAGGGCAAGGGATTCTGCCAGGGCTGGGATGAGCAGGTAGCAGGATTCTAAGAATGTTCCATGCTCTCCAGGGTCATTGCGAGGCCTTAAACTCCACCACCCTCTCCTTTCTGAGCAGGTAGGTGTACAGGTGTGACATCCTCCACCCAGGATTTTGCTGATCACACGCCTATCTGTACCCTTCCCCTGCTCATGCCCACTCCAGAGTCTATCAGCTCTGCAGATGGGACAATTCATAATGAGAGCCCTCAGCTGTTACGCCCTCAGTGGTAGGTTGCGATTTTTATCTAGGGAGACTCTGGGCTGGGGTCTGCAGGCAGATGTCAAGCACAAGCATGGCTCACTTTGCTCTGTAAGTCAAAGGATGGCAGGCTGCTTTATCTCAAGACGGGAGGTCACCAGGTGAATATCCTAACTGCATATTGGCTGCAGGGGGCCCAGAGATCTGCTGCAGGCCTGCCTCCCCATCCCCACACCAAGGACTGTGCGCTCATATATGAAGCAGATCACAGAGAGCACAGAGTTCTCGTTGGAATCCTCCGTCCTGCAGCTGCTGAAAGACCTTTCCTTTGGAGGACACCGTTATTAAGCCAGAGCTCACCCTCTCCCCCTGCACCCGTCTCCCTTCCATGTCCATATTTCATGTTTCTCATGGAGCTCAAGTGCATTGAGCACCTCTAACTCCACCCTGTCATCTTGTCTTGCCAACTCTTTCTTTAAAATGTCTTTTGAATCTGTCCCTTCTGCTGCCCCTGGTCAATACTGTCATTCGATTGGGCTGTTGTATAAGCCTCTGTAATGAAGTGAATATTGGTGTCCCCAACCCTGATGCCCAAACTCATCAGTTTCTGCCCTGACCCCCGATGAGATGGCATTTGGAGGTGGGTCCCTTGGGAGGTGATTAGGTGTAGATGAAGTCAGGAGGGTAGGAGCCCTTGATGGGGTCAGTGTTCTTAGAAGAAAGGGAGAGGGGCTGGAGTCCTCTCCACCACGTGAGGACACAGTCCATAGAGCAACTGCAAGCCAGGAACAGGGGCCTCACGGGAACTGAATCAGCTGGCACCTTGGTCCTGGGCTTTCTAGCTTCCAGAACTGTGAGAAATAAATGTCTGTTGTGAAAGCCCCCCAGGTTACACTATTGTTATAGCCAGAGCTAAGAGCCCCCTACCCTGCTTCTCTGCTTCCTGCCTCATCCCTCGGGTGGAATACCATTTCGTCCATGGCACTCATCATGGTATATTTGTCGCTGAGCTCGTCTGCTGGCTGTTTGCCTTTATAAGCAGATGGTACCCTCCACGAAGCCAAGCCCCTTTCATACCCGGGGCTGAACATCATGTCCAGCACATAGTAGGTGTTTGTGGAAGAAATGAAGTGCTGACTACAATAAAACCTCCCAAGCAGGTCTCCCTGCCTCCTGCCTCACCCCTCTGACTTGAGCCTTGTGTTTCGGCCAGGGTTGTGTTTTTAAAATACTAATTTCATCCCAGCCAGCCCTTCCTCATCAGTGTTGACTGAGCCCTATCTCCTTTTTTTGAAGTTTATGGGAAATTAAGAAAAGTTAAGATCAATATGACAGTGAAGAAAGGTGATGAAGGCCATTAATAACAATGCCTTTAAATTGTGGGTTTGCTTCGAAAGAAACCCTCAAACCCATGAGCACTGCAGGAAATGAATGAGTCAAACTTCCCAGTACCCAGTGGCCTCTAGCTCAGGCCTGATACAATCAACCCTGACTCCTGGACCTGGCTTTCACAATTACCAGGCTGCTGTCTCAGGTGGGCACAGCCCATGACTCCCCTTTATCTGCCATTCACAGGAGGGGCTCTGAGAACTTCTGCCCAGGGCAGTGTAGGGGCCGCAGGGAGTCTGTGGGTGGGACCCAGGCTCATGGATTGGGTGTGCTCTGTGAGACTGTGAGCATGGGGGTGGTGGATAGAGATATTTTGGGAGGACAGGCAATCCCTTGACTACAGCTGTTAGCAAAGTTGGGAAAACACAGTTCAATAGAATTTCCTCTTCCGTCAATATGGGCCCATTTCACCCCTCGCCTTTCTAAAGAGGAAGTTCCGTTAGCTCACAGAAACACAGCATCACACACATTCCTCAGCCTGGAAAAGCCCTAGAAGGACGGTTGCTCAGATTAAGAACCATTAGGGCCTTCTCTTGGGGACTTTAATTCCAATTCCAGAGAAGTAGGCAAGTGTCCCATCCACCCTGCGGCCTGGGAGAGCTCTCAGCCCCTCCCACAGCCCTGCCCTACTGGGTGCTCAGAGAGCAGCCCCGAGGCCCAGGAGCTAGAGCAAACTCCCACTCCTTCCACTGGAGCAAGCTGAGGGCTGCCCTGAGAGCCACATCATCTAACTCCATTCTGTCATGCAGGCCGCTCCTCACGCTGCCTTCTTCCACCAAACTGGCCCCAATTTCTTCTGAGAATTTTTCTTATTTTCTCAACCTTTTCCCCACCTCATGGTCCGCTTCATCCCACCTGCCCAGAGGCCTTTTCCATGGGGAAGGCGCCACCTCCAACCCTCCACTCCCCTTTCCATCCTGACAATTCCAGATGAAAGTGCGAGCGGACTCCAAATGGTCAAGTTCATGGAAGGACATAAAATGGGCACTTTTCCAGAACTTACTTTCTCAGAGCAAAAGCAGGGAGAGAAATGGTGGAGATGATACAGGGTAAAAGAGATGAGGTGTCACCTCCAGGGGGATCCAGGCTGGGGCAGAGTACAGCACACCAGAGGCTCAGGCCACGGGACTGTGGTTTGCTCCACCCACTGGGCTGAGCTCAGGGACAGTCAAACCCACGTGTGGCTTTTCGAGGAAAGAGAAGGCTGCTTTCGGAACAGAGTGCAGAGAGCTTCCGCAGTTATGAGAACTCCCTGGGACATCTCCCGGGCAAGGCGAGCAGGTGAGGCTCCAGGAAGGCGGGGCTATTGCCTTCCTGACAGGTGGTGGGTTTCCTTTCCAGGTTGTCAGAATCCACATCTGAAATGCTGCAGTGCACTTTCCACCGGTTCCTTTTCTCATCTTGTGAAAGAATCCTTGTGCAAACTCCTTCTCTCATTTTCACCCATTTCCAAGAAAAAAATCTCCTTTACAGCCTTCATAACCAAGGACAGCTATTTTCACATGGGAACCCCACATGCCTGGCTCCATGTTAAACTCCTTTGACACATAATCTCATTTAAACTCACAACATCCCTGTGGGGACTTGCCATCCCCACGTTACAGATGGGAAATTGGAAGCTCTGAGAAGATAAATCATCTTTTCAAGGTCACAGCAATACATGTGAGCACAGGCTCTCAATGAGGGCTCTGTCTGAGCAACACCCTCTTCATTAACATCCCAAGTATCATCAACCAAGTCAGCCATTGCGTCACCAGAAATCTGACTGGTTTCGCAAGATTTCCGTGGTCTAGACATTTATTGGAATAACAATACATCCGTCATTCATAGCGCTCCATGTTCAAGGCGTGTTTCCATTTTCTCAGGGGAACTTCGTGTCCCTGGGAATTAGACAAGCCAGACATTCTTCTACAGTTTTACAGACAAGAAAACCGAGGCTCAAAGAGGAAAGGTGACTTGGCCATGGTCACACGGCTAGAAACAGAATTCTTTCCTGTCTTATGCTGCCTCTTCAATAAATAAAGGAGCAAAATAAATAAGTAAGCTGTCAAGGAAACCCTGAGGAATCCTCTCCTGAGCATGTTGCCAGAGGGGCTTCACTTATCAGGCTGGTACCCAGGAGCTTCTTGGCAGAGTGGCAGGGGCCATGGGTGGGTTCCCTGGGCCAGAAGGCCTGTTTTCAAAATTCCTCAGAGAAATTCAGGGCCAAGAGGTAGCTTGGGAAGGCCTGCCCTTCTTCCCAGCATCCTGTCTGGGGACTCTCAACGGCCTTTATTTGAAGACAGATTTCAAATGGATAGTGGGGACGCAGGGCCCACACCTATCCCTCTGGACCTCAGAGATGGGCAGTTCTCCAAGGATGCTCCCATAGACCGATGCTAAAACTATTAGCCCTTGCAGTGAGCAGGAAGCTCACTGGGAAGATTTGTTCCAGAGTCGATTTCCTCCCAGCACTGAGTTGGACAGGGTCTGAAATGTCACCCCAGGGCCAGCTTGGCTAACATCCATCACAGAGACCCTCTAAAGATTGAGTCCTTATTTTACAGATGGGGAAACTGAAGCCCTCTGAGAGGTGACTGGCCCAGGATCACATGACTGAACACCAAGCATGCAGGATCCCAGCCCAGGGCCCTGACCTCTGGGTCTGTGGCTAGACATGAGCAGCAAGCACAGGTGCCAGTCCCAGCCCTGTCTCTCTGGTGATCTCCTGAGTTGGTGCCCAAGCCCAGAGGTCACCTGAAGGCTGGTGCTCTGACCAGTCCAGACACCTCCCTGTGGGGGAGCTTCTCCCTGCCACCACACTAGAGATCAAACTCAGCCTCTGCTCCTGCCTTCTCTCCCCAGAAATGACCCCTCCAGGGAGGCCTTGAAACTCCATTTTCTTAGCACTCCAACCTGCAGGAGGCTCTGATGCCTCACTAGCCTGAAGGAGGCATCAGGGTCCGAGTGGACTGCAACCTGGCAGCCTCACTACGACTCCAGAACCCCGGAGGTTCCCCTGAGCACAGAACCCTTTACAGCACAGGAAGGAGTCCCAAGGAGGGGAGGTCTTTGCCCCGCCCTTAGTGCTGCTAGAGTCTGCAGGGCCCCATTGAGCAGCACAGGCCAATGCCATCCTCATGCCCTGCACTACTCCAGCGAGACAGTCTCCTCCTGTCCTGTACGGCCTGTCCAGGGCTGGCCCCGATAGGCTTGCAGAAAAATGCCCAGCATGGCCTGCCTGATCCAGGCAGAGGCACAGGCATGACTGAAACCAAAAGCAGCCCTAAGCCCAGGTCACTCATTCGAGTGCAGGCTGGAGATCAGCGGCAAGGTGACCATGTCTGAGTCAAAGCAGCTCAGGGGACCCCCTGAGGCTGCCACACAATCCAGAGGGGCAAGGTCATGGATAAAACTCCAGTCAGCTGTTCCCAGGTCACCACAGCTGGTCAAGCCCAGGAGTGGCCATTCCTTAGGCAGTTGGTTCCACTGTCCGGCGGGGCCATCTGAGGGAGCCACAGTCATTCCTGGAGGATCCTGTTTCACATAGCCCTTGGCCAAGGCTGGCGGAGGCCAGTCTGCCTCGGCATCCAGGCACGTCCTGAACTGGGGGCCAAGGCTGTCTGTCAAGGGTGCCTCTTCCTCCAGGCCACCTGCTGTGGCTGCGTTCTCTTCTGTGCATTTAGCTTGTTTCAGGTAGCCCTGGAATGCCACCACGGCTGGGTCTTCCTCCTCAGGCACCTCAGGCCTCAGGAGACTGACAGGGCCCAAGGCAGAGACGTCCTGTGCATCCCCTGGCTGCCCCTCAGAGCTGTGGACTAGGCCAATGCCACTGTCATCCTGGCCCTGGCTGGCTTTCTCCACCTGCTGCTCCCAGGTGGGTCCCCTGCCGGGGCACAGGCAGGGCTCCTGCAAGCAGATCCCACTGTCTGTGCTACTGCTGCTGCCACTACTGCAGCTGTCCTGTAGCTCTGTGGGGACCTCCGTTCCCAGAGCCCCACAGGCCTGGGGGTGGGGAGTAGGGAGGAGAAACTGGGGCTCTTCGGTCTGCAGGGATGGCTTGGCACTGCCAAAGCCACTGTCTGTGCTGCCATGCAGGTCTGAGTTCCTGAGCTCTGGGGACACCTTCCGGAAGGCCTCCTCATCAAGCAGGTAGATGATGTCTGGGCAGGGAGGCTGGTTGACAGGGCCAATGGGGCTGGGCTTCTCGAAGACCTGGGAGGAGAGGACAGAGTGAGATTGGTTGGGGCCACCTGCCGGAGCCCTCCCCAGAGCCACAAGGGAGGCCCAAGACCCAGGAAGGGAGCATCAACAGAAGGGGACCACAAGGCCTGGATGACACCGCAGGGAGCTCTTTGGAATCAGCTTTTCTCCTGAGGCATTCTCTGCCCAGGCCAGATGCACAAGAAGCTGCGATTCTTGAAGCCAGATGGAAAGGGAGGCCAGGCGGAATGGGAGCCTGCAGGGAACCCCCGAGCCCCCAGGCGGCTCCACCCTCTGGGCTTTTCAAACCTGTGCCCACCCATCTAGAAGTGTGCCTCAAACTTCCTGACAATGACCTCAAATAAGATACAAATATTACAAGATAATCTGTTCATATAACTCATATAGAAGCAAATGGAAGCAGCTTCACAAAATAATACCTACTCCCAGTGCACCGCGACGGATCCATCTAGTCTACTCTATCCCATCCCACCCATTTTTAGAAAAATTTCTGGGTGTGAGACATCAAATTAATCTCTCCAGTTTCTGAGTTGTGATCTCCACAAACAGGGTGGCTGCAGTGTGGGGTAGCGGAATAAGTGAAGAACTAGCAGCCAAAGACCTGCTCCCCATCAATGGCCAAGGGTCCCAGGGAAGTCATTTGACCCCTCTCTCTGGCTCTCCTCTGCCCTAGCTGCAGTTGTGTTCTTTCTGTCCCAGAACAAACACATCAGGGCCTTTGCACATGTTAATCCTTCTGCTTGGAATACTCTTCTGTCTTGCACTTTGCATCGCTGGGTCCCCTCATCATTCAGGTCTCAGCTTGGATGTCACCTCTTCATCAAGCCCTTCCCAGCCATGCTTTCCACATTAGCCTTGTTTACTTCTTCCTAGTACTTAGTTCCTGGAAATAATACACACTCATTCACTCCCCATTCCCCAAAGAATCTAAGTTCTGTGAAGGCCAGACTAGTCTTTTTGCCACTCTGTCCCCAGAACCTGAATTGAGCTGGCACAAGTAGACACTCATAAGGTTTGTTGATTGACTTATTGACTCACCATCACACAACTGCCCTCACTTCCTTAGTACACAATGATGCAAATGCAACTCTCACTGGCTGAGTCTCTATTATAGTCTCTTTTACTTTAAAACCATTGCTTAGTGTTAAAGACGTACACTCAGGAGCCAGACTTTCCAAGTTCAAATTCCAGCTCTGCCTCCTATAAACTTTATAAGTTGAACCAAAATACTTATCTTCTCTGTGCTTTGGTTCCTCATCTGCAGAGTGAAAACAATAACGGCACATGCCTACTTGTGTCATTAAGGCGTGTAGTCATACCAAGAAGAAACTCAGGAAATATGTGCTCAATTGAATTTCATCCTCCAGTAATTTTTCAAGGGAAGTATTTTGACCTCTATTTCTTAGAGGAGAAAACTGAAGCTCAGAGAAGTTAAATGGCTTGCCCAAAATCACACAGCAGTGAAGAGCAAACCTGAAATTTATACTCAATTGTCCTGTGAGATCCCCTGATTTCCAATCAAACTTCCCTGGATGGACAGTTGAAAGAGGATATCAAGCCAGCTAATGAACAAGGACAAACTAAAGAATGTGAAAGTGCTCTCAGCATTATACATTAGTGATGACTCGGATTATTAGGGGAAGGAAATTGGGCTGTATTTAACCCAAGGAGAAAAAACCCTCCAGGACAAGTGAATTCTGTGATCAAATGTACAGAAGGAACAAAACCCCAGAAACTGCTTGTCATCTCTGCTGCTCGGATGTTATTTCCCTGCTTTGTGCTAAGCTCACAGTTTACATATTGGTTGTAATCAAGTCCCTTGGGACCAGGGGCCACATGAATCAGCTCCTTCCCAGACAGAACTGTGCATGTGATGGATGTTCAGTAACCAGCTCAAGCACCACCTCACACATTCTAGATGCCTCTCCTGACCCCTAAGTAGAATCTCCCATCCTGGGTCTCAGGACCACCCTCCTCCCACCCCAACTTTCTTCTAGCCATCTCGTCCCAGTCTCCCAGTACATTCCTAAGCTACCACCCAAGTTCCAGGCCCTGTCTTGAATATATGCTCAAAGTGCATGGGAAACAGGCCGAGGAGCTGACTCTCCCAGGAACAGAGAAAGGATGATGAGTAGACACTTCAGCTAGACACAAGGAGATACTATAAAACCCCTGAGGGCTGTTTAAGTGTGCCTGCCCCAGTCTCCTCCTCATATCTGTCTACCCAGGGTACTGAGCAGGGGACACGGTGCTTTCTCACCTGGAAAAAGACCAATCAGGCCAGGCAGCCGGCCACCCGCCACGCGCACACACGGATCCAGAAGGTAAACTCAAAACAACTCGGTCTCTCTCATCATTGTCCTTAGAGAGCCTGGGATCCCTCTGGAGTTTCCCACCGCATTTGTGAGCTTCCCTGGGGCTCCTGCCTCCCTGCCCAAGCTGGGTCCTTTGGCACACAGCAAGACCAGCTCGGGGGGCTGTTGTGGTGACCCTCCATGCAGCCTGAGCCCAGGTGGGGGTGGGCTGAACTTCTGAACTGCTGCACAGTTCTTACAGGATAACTTTTGGAGGCTGACATGCCACTCCCAGATGTGGCCCAGATGTGGCCCACTGGGAGAGGTGGGAGGTCCTGGCCTCCTTCAAGAATCTTCCTCTCCACTGTCACCTCTCTACTCTGCCCCCTCCCTCTCTGACAGCTTGAGCCCGTCTTTCTTCCTGTCTTGTTGGGAGTCATTGCTCTTGGCCACTATGTGTAGGAAGATGGGCTCCTTTCATGACTTTTCCTGGCTGTACAAATCTGTGCATGGAACAATCTCTCTGTCCTCACTTCTAAAATGAGGATAGTAACTGGTACTAATGTACAGGGGCTGGTCAATGGCCAATTATTAATAGAAATGACAAGACTTGTGGTCACTGGGTTTGTGATTGCTCAGCATGTACCTGTGGTATCTGGGCTACTAGAAGACAGTGTTCTCAGGACAGGGTTTTATGTTTACTTCCTCCCTCTGTCCCCATAGTGCTTGATGAGAGTGCCCATGATAATGTCAGGGCTGAAAGCCAAGGTTAGCTAAGGGAATGGACAGCCTGGGAGGGAGGGAACTCTGGAGAGCCTGGGAAATGGAGCAATGGCCTCCCTGTGAGACTCACCAGGACCGAAGGCAGCTTCCTCCGGCGCCGCACATACAGCTGGAGGGTCAGACAGTAGACCAGGGCTCCACAGAGCAGCAGGACACAGGAGAAGAAGATGCTGAGGTTGGTCGCAGTGAAATCTGCAGGCAGACAGATGCATTAGTAGCCTGGCACCATGGGGCACTAAGGGACTGTCCCCAGAGGTCCCTTGGCCACTCTGAGGAACTACTCAGTGAGTGACCCACCCCTACAGGCAACTTCTTAGCCATAGTGAATCTCTGCCAGTCTTCCAACCTCTGTGTGGGGTCCCCTCGCTGGGCACACCAATTCTGCTTCCAGCTCTCTGCACCCAAGGCAAACAGAACAATAGGGCAGGATAGCAGAGCAGGCAAGAACAGAGGCTTCTGGGGGCAGCCAGACCTGGGTTCAAATCCCAGCTGCACCACTTGCTAGCTGTTGGACTGTAGACAAAGTACTTAATCTCTCTGAGCCTCAGTTTGTTCATCTATAAAATGAGAAAAAATTATACCTTATAATATGGTTGTAAAGTATAATCTTGTCCCAAGAATTTTACTTACTTCATCAGGCCCTTCTAACAACCTGAGGAGATAAATATTATCATCACCCCCATTTCACAGATTAGGATACTGAGGCTCAGAGAAGCCAAGTCACTTGCCCAAGGTTACAAGCTAAGACCAGAACAAAACTATTTCTTCTATAAAAAAATTTTCTCTCTCTCTCTCTCTCTCTCTCTCTCTCTCTCTTTGGTACTTGGTATTGAACCTAAGGGCACTTTACCACTGAGTCACATCCCTGGGGTCTCACTAAGTTGCTTAGGGCCATGCTAAGTTGCTGAAACTCCCTCGAACTTGCAATCCTGCCTTGGCCTCCCGAGTTGCTGGGATGACAGGCATGTGCCACCACGCCTGGCCTTAAAAATCTTTTAACACTGCCTGATGCATCCTTGGTGCCTTAGTCTGCCCTGGCACTTCAATGACGATGAGTTGTTGAGTGTTCTTCATACAACAGGCCCTACTGTAAAGTAGAGTCACTGCCATCTTTGCTGGGCAGGGCACACTCTGCCCCCTAGCCAGATGGCAGGATCCTAGTGGGCAGGACTTGGCTCCACACTGACATCTCTCCCCCACTACTGCTGACTTTAGCAGCTCTTCCCAGGAGACAGCTCAGTTCTGCTTCCTCTCAGGGGAGAAAGAGGGGGCAAGGAGAAGCCCTCTGTACCCCAGCTCTGAGGAAGGACAGTACAGACTGTAACAAACAGGAACTAGCACAGCTGACTGGGAGGTGGGGTGGTGGGGTGGGGTCCTGAGGCGGTCCCTGGAAAGCACAGCTGTATGTAGGACCCCAGAATCAGGGAACCTGGTTCTATGGGCCCACCCCTTCCTCGAAAGTTGTCTTCATGGAGCTTTTCTAATATGGGACAACAGGACCTCTCTGATGGGCTGTGCAGGAATAACTGGCTACACAGGGCAGGGCCAGTGTAGTGCCTGGCACCAGCAGCCTGAGTGAGGCTTTATGGATTGTGCCAGCCCTTCCAGATCCTTCTCCACCCGGATGCCAATCTGAGCCCACTCACACTGCTTGGTGAGGACGATGCACTGCTCCTCCGACCAGACCCCCTTGTTCGTCCGGGAGGCTACAGATGGCTTCACTATGACACAGAACTTTCCCACCTCTCCTGAGGCTGTGAGGTTGAAGTTTTCATGATTGACCTTCTTTATTCTCAACTGAAACCAAAACAAGAACAACAATGAACAAAATCCTCTTATGCCATGGTACCTAGAAGAGCTGGAGGCCCCCCTTTTTGGTGTGTGATACAGAGGATGGAGCCAGGCCTCCAGCATGCTAGGCGAGTGCTCTACCACTGAGCCCCAAATATCCCTGACCCTGGAGGGGCCTTCGAGAACTCCTTCAGTCTATTCCTAAGATAATCAACTGTGCTTACCAGTACAGCCCAGCATCTCTGTAATTACCACAACCAATTTTGCATTAATAGAGAAAAGGGAGTCTTTTCTAGAAACTGAGGATCTCTCTAGAAGGAACCTGAATCAATTGTGGTGAAGAGGAAAGAGGATGGATTCTGCCCATTCCAGATTTCCCACCCGCAGGGGTGCCCTTGGAAAGTTCCACAGCCTCATCTGTAAAATGAAATAAAGTACCCACGCCGAGGGCGTCAGAAACAAGATCCATCACATGTTTTGAGAGCTGCTGACACCTGGCAGGCAGTGCCTTCCCCGCAGGAGTGTGTGTTCGAGGGCTGAGGTCATTTCAACTCCTTCCTCGGTACCCAGGTTCTTTCTACTCTGCACAAAGGTGATGCTAGCCCAGGGGACAGAGAAGACTTGGGGACCCCGTACCGGAAAGCTTCCTGGCACCTTGCGGATGGCAATCTCATACTGGCGGAAGTGACTGAAGATGTTTTCATACGTATCACCTTCAGGGGCTATCTGGGGCCTGGGGGGCTGGATTGTCCCAAGAATGGAGTCCTCGTGCACCTCTAGCTTCACGCTTCCAACCGTCAGTGTCACTGAATGGGGAAGGGACAAAGCCATGAGGCTGAGGCATGGAGAGGGCCTGGAGATCCCACCCATGACTTTCCTCCAGGGTCAAGTTTACCTCCCCCAAAACCTAGGCCACAGGTTTCCAATCCCACAGAACATATGAACTTCTTGGGAAATGTTTGAAATACAGATGCCCTGGGGGCCTCTATAGACATAGGGAACCTGAATTTTGCAGGCTGGACCCTGGAAATACATACACACACACACACACATATATATATATATATACATACACATATATATATATACACACAAATATATATGTACACATAAATGTACATATATACATATGTATATATATTTATTTGTTTGTTTGTTTATTTTTTAACTGAGAATTTAACCCAGGGTGCTTTACCACTGAGCTATATCCCCAACCCTTTTTACTATTTTTTAAAATTTTGAGATAGGGTCTCACTAAGATACTTGGGCCCCTCTGAGTTATTGAGGCTGGCCTTGAACTTACAACCTCCTGTCTCAGCCTCCCAAGATGCTGGGATTACAGGCATGCGCCACCTTGTCTGGCTAGAAATATATTTTTAAATACACTCCTTAAAAAAATGTTTCTGCAGCTGGCTGAGCACTGGTCTGTGAGCAGGCATTTGGGAGCCTTCTAGGCCATCGACTCCAATTGGAATCCCGCAGAGCAGGACTTGCACACAGACCAAGCTCAGTCCCAATTTGTGGAATAGAAGAATCCCACTGGGCTTGAGGCTTCATCGTTTCTGTTACCTTCCAGGGAGACTCCTGCCTTTTCTTAAGCAGCACTTTCCTGCTCCAAATGATGACCCCTGGGAATTCTCCCCTACAGGTGGGAGGACCAAATACGCCCACTGCTCCAGGTGCTATGCTGAGTGCTAATGGATTCGCTTCCTTTCCCCAAACTCCACAAGTTCACAGGCCTGGCCCTCATGACTCAGCGGCTCCAGTACACCCCAAGACCTCCCTTCTGTAGGATAAACAACTCCAGTTCCCTTTTAAATCTCAGAAAACTTGGCTGTTTTCATCTAACCTCTCCAAAGACCTGACTCAGGCCTGTTTGGGTAACTAGTTCCCGGCTAGAAGGTCTGATGACGGGAGGAGATATGGGAACAGAAAGAAAAGCCTCAGGCTAGGGTTTCTGGCTGGAAGGGAGCCAAAGCCATGCACTAGTTCCAGGGGAAGTAAAGCACCTTCATCCACAGAAAAGCGGGTTTGGGTGATAGTCCAATTGGAGTGCCGCCTGCCATCCACGGCCCGGACCTGGGCCCGGTAACCGTTGTTGTGGTACAGGTCCAGGGTGGCTGCGGTGAGATCACAGAACTCCAGGGCACCCCTACAGCTGGTGACGTTTTCCCAGAGCTGTCTTCCGTACCTGAAGAGATATCAGGGTAGGCACTAGGGTAGGAACTATGCTCAAGTCTACTCCTTTAAGAGGGCATCCAGAGGTCTGGGCAGAGAGCTTCCATCATGGAAGAAAGCGGAACACGCTCGGGATATTTCCTGTAGTTCAGGGCATCTAATTGCAAGGGGTCTCTCGTGGTTTTGGGACCGCATATCAGCTTTCCTGTGGTGTAGAAGACTCAACAGAGGGAACAGGAGTAGCTCAAGTGCTATCCCTCCAGAAAGACCTTCGGGCCCTGTCCCTCAGCCTTCTTTCTAACTTCTCCCAGCTACATTTGCAGACATATGGTTTCCTTGTTCTCCAACAATACTGTGGAGGCTTTCCCCGTAAGATGGAGAAACCTGGTGGGGGAAAGCCATTCTTGGCCTTCTCACACCAGAGATCCCAGCATGCTGCTTAGTATACATGGAGATGTCAGCTGGGTAGATATGTTTCAAGGTCCCCTGTTGTGTTGCCTCAATAAAGAGGCAGGCACCTTCCTGTGAAAGGGGAGCAGATGGAGACCAACTGGCCCATCCCTCACCGCCCTTCTCCTCCCTCCATCTTCCCCTTTTCTTACTTCAGGAGTGCCACTTCATAGTAGGTGCTTTCAGACTGATTAGGGATGGGTGTCCAGTGGAGGATGTGCTGGAAAAATTCTGCTTCAAACCACACAGATGGAGGGCTAGGCAGTTCCGTTCCTGGGGAGAAGAGATGTCAATAGCTTGTAGAATCCATCCCCTGGGACCAGGAGGACCCAAATCACTCCCCACGGGAAGAAGCAGTCCCATCATGGCACCAGAAAAGCAGAAAAGCCATGGCTAAATTTTTGCTTTGTCAAGAAGTACATTTGAATTAAAAAAAAAAAAAGTGGGGAGCTGGAAGTGTGGCTCAGCGGTAGAGCACTTGCCTAGCATGTGTGAGGCACTGGGTTTGATTCTCAGCACCACATACAAATAAATGAATTTTTAAAAAGTCCATCAATGTCTAAAAAAATAAAAAATAAAAAAAGTAGGTGGGTGAGTTTTTGAGTGGGGAGGGGCTATTGATCCCGCACACCATCAATCTCAACCTCTTCCATTTCTACTTCCAGCGGGTGATGGTGACAAGAATTAGAATTCATTTGCTGGGTCCTCTGCAATAAGCTGAGCACTGTGCTAAGTGTTTTGCTATGTTCCATGTCACATCAGCCCTGCATGGAGAACATTTATTGCCCCCATTTTACTAAAGAAGAAATGGAAGCTCAGAGAGGGTAAGTGACTTGCTCAAGGCCAATGGAGCTGGTAAGAGGCAGAGTGTGGACTTGCCCCCAGATGTGTCTGATTCCAGAGCTAGGGTTGGGTCCTGCACTGTTGGTGACCAGAAGCTCAGTGGTGGATGAGAAGACAGAGCTGAGTCCCACACAGCCCAGGGGAAAAGACAGGGGGAGGCCTGAGGCATGTCAGCAGCAAGCTCAGATGAGCTAGTTTCTGGCTCTGCCTGAACACTGTCTTTGCTCCAGTATCATCCTAAGGCCTGTCCCCCACCCCTACACCTGGTCCCCACCCAATCCCAGTCCAAGGCCACTTTTCTGGCTACACAGACATCTTACTTATTGACATCTGCCTGGGCAGATGGTCTCTTGGGCCACTCAAACTGAGGGCTGGTTCCATTCCCTGAATCCTAGAAGGGTTTCACCTATAGTCAGATACCCACCTGAGGCTAGGTGAGGACAGCCAGGAATCAGCCCTTGTTTTAGACTGTGCTGAGGACCTCTCCTCAGAGAACTAGCACCCCTGGATCTAAGGTGAGATTTGAAACACCAAGCTCTGTCTCTACGCTACCATCCTCTCAGCCCCAACACACCATTCACCACAGGCAGCACTGGTTCCAGGAACCTCAAACTAGCCCTTGCCAATGTGGTGCTAAGCACAAAGTACAGTGAAGGTCAATAGCAAGTGGGTTCCCCTAGGGCGTCTCCTTTGACAGTGGCTCTGCCCCCACTTGCCCAGTTCTCTAACTTCTCAACATCTCTCAAATCTTGCTTTCTTTCTGACTCTGCCATTTTCATTTAGAAAATATACCCCCACTCACACACACACATACACACATATGGGGTCTAGCTAAACTGCCTCGGCCAACCTTGAACTTTTGATCCTCCTGCCTCAGACCTTCCTGTCTCTTACATCCTTTCATTTACTGTCTTTGAGCATTAATTCTGTTTCGTTGCAAAACATTAGATGGAAAGTGAAAGACACAGCAAGTCTTTGCAGGGTTTGGGCTGCATATCCCCACCTCAGCCCCCAATCATGTGAAAGTGTTTTACTTTGTATTTTGACATCATGTAGAAGATATTTGGGTCCCTGCTCTCCTTGCATCTGCTTTTGGTCCCTCCAACTCTGGGCCTTTCCGTTCTCTCTTTCTGGGGCTTCTTGGTTGCAGAAACTCAGACTGAGTTAAGAGCTAGGGGTAAGGCAGGAGGGAGGCAGGGAGCAATGGGAGTGAGCTGGGGGGCTGAAGACCATCTCTGATGGTCACATAGGAGTAATCCAAAGGGTGGGGAAAGGGCAGAGATGGAGGTGAGACCAGAAGGCAAAGGGAGAGGAGAGTCAGAAGGGCATCAAAATATCCAAATCACTCCCCACGGGAAGAAGCAGTCCCATCATGGCACCAGAAGAGCAGAAAAACTATGACTAAATTTTTGCTTTCTCAAGAAGTGCATTAAAAAAATAAAGTGGGTGGATGAGTTTTGGAGTGGGGAGGGGCTATTGATCCCCCACACCCCTCAATCTCAACCTCTTCCACTTCCACAGCAGGTGAGCCTGAGACTCAGTCTTGCCAGAGTGAAGGAGCCCCGGCAGGGACAGGGAGGTTATGAGCATCCCTCTCCGAGAGGGTAGCTAAATCGAGTTCCCTGTGGGAAGCAGAACATAAAGGAGGGCCGAGGACAGATGGGAGTGGGATCTGGCCATCCGTACAGCCCAGCGGGGCAGCCGCGAAGAGGTCGAGGCGTTCCTCTACTGACTTAATACTTCTGGAGTTATGTCCACGACATCTCCCAATCCCTCTTGGTTTCCCTTGCTTGCCTGAAATCGCGTGGTTAGAGCTGGTGATAGCACTGCTCCGGGACCCGGAGCCTTACCGTGCGCACTGGAGCCAAGGCACAGGCTGAGGAGCGCTGCCAGAGGCACTACCAGGCGCGACAGCATTCTGGGCGCGCCGCATCGTCCGGAGCCGCCTGAAAACCTCCTGCCGCTACTCCGCTGGGCTGAGACTGACGGCTCTAGCCGCTAGCCCAGCCCGCGCCCGGGGCTGGGGGGCTGACGTCAGTGAAGGCGGGGCGGGGCCTCTATGCGCCCCGCCCCTTCGGCACCGTGACGTTGGTTTGACAGTGCTCCGTGCACTAGCCCCGCTGGCGAGAGAGGCAGGGCAAGTCTGTGCAGAGGCAGAGAAGGCTGCAACCAACTCTGCCCTTCTCCCCATTGGGCTTCCAGCGCCATTGAAACTGTGTGTGTATGTGTGTGTGTGTGTGTATGTGTGTGTGCGTACGTGTTGGAGTGCAGATGGCCTAAGACAGCTTTGCCCTAAAGGGCAGCACCTGGGTTCAGATTAGCTAATTATATGAGGCTACCAGGCTCAGAATTGTTCCTGTGTCCAAGGTGGCCCTGAAATGGGGAAGCAGACAATTCCAGGTGCTGAATGCAGATGTCTGAGGACACGTGTGTAATTCTCAGTGTTGCCCTAGGACCTCTGTCCAATCTTCTCAGCTAAACTGACTCTAGAGTAGGTGTTGCCTACCTGACTTATACTTTTGGAGGGGTATCCACGACATCTCCCAGCCCCTTTTGGTTTCACTGGAGTTTCACTGCTGGGGTACCCAGTAACATTGGAGCCAACACTTTTGTGTCACATGACTCAGCTGAGACTGCCCTCTGGGTGTGCTAAAGATGTAAGGGTGTGGGAGAAAAACTTTATCACATCACTTTTTATTGGAGGGTGAAACTTGCTACATACATGCATACCCTTGCAATGTGCATATGTGCTTGCACTCACATATGCAGTAGTGAATCTGTCTAGATTTGGATTCATTTGTGATGTTGAGCATGTACTTGTGGGTCTTCTTGTCAGTGTCTATACTGGCTGACCTGGGAGCCCTGTTCTTATTCTCAGAGGACATGGGAACAAAAGAAGGGGGACTTGACATTTCCAGGCTCAGCCTGGGGTCACCAGGCTCTCTCTGTTCCTGGGATGTTTCCTTGGTAGTATCCAGAGCCCACACTGAAGGCCTATCTGTAGCTTTTGAGAAAGGGGACCCAACTTGGATAGGTGTGCATGGCACCCGAGTTAGTAAGAATGGCTTGTGGAGATACCCTGTTGTGGGAGTGAAAGAATTTGAAAGTCTTACCCCATTACAGCTTTTTCTTAAATTTTTTAATTTTATTTTTCCCCCAATTACAGTTTTGATCAACTCTGTTACCCAGTGGTCTGGACCGAGAGTATTCTAAGTTGGCTGAGGGTAGGAGTTGGGGGTCCCATCTGTGCCTGTGGGTATACATTGGGACTAGAAATATTTCATTCTTGGTCAGCAGTGGCCAGGGTGCCCCAGCTACCTGGGTAATAGAAAGTGGTATCCGCTTGGCCCACCAGGACATATGATCAGTTAAGCCCTCTCTTGGGGTACAGCTCCTGTTACCACACCCTCAGATCAGCCAGGAAGGAGAGCTCCAGGTTTATTTTAAAGTGTAAGAATGGTTTTTGTACTTACTGGTGCTCAGCTGAGAACTTTAGATGACAGATTGCCCAGGAGTACCCAGGCGTGATGCAGGAGGTGTGGCTACCTTCTGAAATGACTTCTTAGTTCCTGTTAACCTTTTTAAGGAAGAGAATGCTGTGGTATTTCTTTCTTATCTTGCCTTCTTGCCTTTAGTTTTTGTTGAGTGCGAGAATTTGAAAGTCTTAACTCTGTTACTCTTCTGATCAGGATTCTTCATTCATTCACATGGTCATGTGCACACTTATGACCCAGACATTTGCTGATGCTGGGAATTAACAGGTGATCAAAACCAAGTCTCTTACCCAGGGAGTGATCTAGTTAGAGTGAGAAACAGCAGAGATTTTGATAATCTGTTGTAAGTGTTCTGGGAAGGGAAGTATAGACTAACTTGGGACACAGGGCAGAGACTCTCAATCACACTTACAGAGTGACCCAGTGGAGTGTCGGGTGATAGGAAGGGTGTTTCAGACAGGTAAGTGTATGAGGATAGGTATTGGAGATGAGAGAATATGACATTTTTGGAGATCCCTATAAAATGGGTAAGTTGGCATTTATGTTTTGGAATGTGAAAACTACAGTGGCTGACATAGGTTAACACCTTCCCGAGTGCAGAGCCAGCCTCTGAATGCAGGATATTTCAACATATCTGCCGCCTCATAGAAAGCACCCAGAGTAAGAGTTATATCAAGCATGATTTCTATATCTTAAATTTTTTTTTATAAAGCTTACTAGTTTGTTTTGTTTTGTATTCACTTACTCATTCTCAGTGTTTGGACAAGTCTATCTTGAGGTTCTGGGATTTCTGGTATCCAAAACAGTATTAGGACAGATGATAGAAAGTAATTATAACAGTATCTTGAATTTATTGAGTTCTTAACAGTATATCAAGCACTATGCTAAATACTTGTTGTAGCAGAGCCTGGCCAGATGTCTAGCTAGCAATCTCATTTCCTCTTCCTGGGTACATGTGGGGCAACTAGATTTCCCTGTCTCCCTTGAAGTTCGGTGGAATATGTGGCTGAGTTTTAGCCAATGTGAAGTTGAACTGGTGGGTGCCAAGTCCAGCCTGTTTTTTAACTCTGTGCAAGTCTGTCAGCTATCTGGAAGGGCTCCAGTGGAGGACCCCAAGGGAATGGAAGGTCTTGAGTCCCTGAACCACCATTTGGAGGAGAGCTGTGCAAGAAAGACACCTAATCCTCATCAATTTGTTAAACAAGAGGGGAATGAACCCTTGTGGTATCAAGCCACTGAGATTTTCCTTATAGCAGTTACAGTTGACTATCCTGATTAATCTGCGAACATAGTCTCATTTACTCCTTATAACCACCCAGTGGAATGGAGTTTTGTAGATGGGGAAGTGAGGTCAAGTGAGATCAAGTCACTTGCCCTTATCTCTCAGGACTAAATGGTAGGACTAAGAGGTCAGTTTGGGTCTGTTTTATTTCAGAGCCCATATTTCTACAATGTTGGTACAGATTCCTTTTCAATCTCTGAAGAGTTCTTTGTGAGAGACTAATTTAAAAAGACTTGAGAGAGAGAGAGAGAGAGAGAGAGAGAGAAGGAAAGAAAGAGAAAAAGGAGCAGCTTAAGCCTGAGAGAGTGCTGTAGAGGGTAGAGGGATGAGGCAAGCCCAGAAACCTGTGGGCAGAGCTGGGTGGACAGTCTGCTCTTGTGACCTCCTGGGAAATTCTTAGAGCAGATTTGGAGCTCTGGAGGTGCTGTTGTTTTCCTTTCAGTCCACTCCATCCAGGACTTCGGGATGATGCTCCTAAATAGGTATCGCTGCGGGGTAAAGTGGGCCTCTGAGTGGGTAGGAAATTGTGATCAAATGTGGTAACAAGCACAACTTTCAGTTTTCTGTCCCTGGACTAGTGATTAGGGAAGTTCCAGGCCTTGTGATCACTGTGTTGGAGCTACATATGATGAAGAGAAACCCAGAGGGAACTGACCCTGAGAAGGAGACAGAAAGAAGGAAGCTGCCTGGGGAAGCTTGGTGGTCCTTATGTTGCGGTTGAGGAGAATTTCGAATGTGAATGGAAGGGCCTGCTGGGACTGCTGAGCCAACTCCAGCCCGGCCCCATGGGACTTCTGGTGGCCATCTATAGAACCCAATTAATGTCTGCATCCTCTCATCCTCTACCTGACTCCCTGAGTCTAAAAGAGCTCAGAAGTGACAGTGGCTCAGGCTTGAATAAGGAGTTGCTTGCACTTCAGCTGGGTGGGTGACAGACATCCGTAGGGGGGTTCTGACCAGGAGAGGGACCCCACAGATTTGCATCCTCAGAGCATGGGGATAAGTTGCCAAGATGACTCACCTAGTTAGTGGCAGAATTAAAACCCTAGTCTCCAGATTGAGGTTCAGCCCTGCCTGCCACGCCACGGCAGCTAAGTTTGTGGAGCTATGAAGAGGGTGTGGGGTTGTTTTGCCCATCAGCTTAGAGGAAAGGGAAACAAAGACTGACCCCCTGTGCTCACACTCTGAGCCAGCAGAGAGGGGACCTGAGAACCTTTTCCCCCAGTAGTCTGCCCAGGATACTGCTCTTGGCCAGTGCCCGAGGTGGAGGAGCCATGAGCCTTGGAAACAGGAAACCTGGTTCTGGCTCCAGCTTGGCCACTGCCAGCTGTGTGTGTGTCCTTAGGCCATTGTCTTTTATCAGTCGTTGGCAAGGTTGGAACCTTTATAACCTTGCTGGGCTCTTGGAAGGCCAGAGGCAAATGAGTTCTGACGACTGATAAAGGCTTCTGCAGTGAGGGAGTTAGTCAGGAGAAGTTCCAGGAGGAAGAGCATCGTGCTGACCAGAGGAGCCAGTTCCTTTCTCCATTGCCAGGATTTGTTTGGCGTCTCCCCAGGCTGTGTGATGAGCTGAGCTCCAGGGCACCAGCCTAGAGCAAAGGGGGCCTTTGACTGTTCTTGGGACAACTCCTTCTACCAGAGAAATTTTTAAGAAAATCATCTTGGCAGGAAGCACTTGGACCTAGCCCACTATCATTGCTTTATAAACTTGAGAGGCCAGAGATGACCGACACAAGGTAGAAATATCCTGGGTCATTTAAACAGAGAGCTGTGTCTTCCTTCTGTAGCCCAGATGGCCTTGACTTCCCCAGTTGTTAAGGGTGTCATTTCCTCTTGCTTCTAAAATAATAACAGTCTGAGCTCCATCCCACAAATGCAAGAAGTCCATCTGTTCTCGGGTTTCCTTCCCAGAGCTGTGCTGGTGGGCTTGTATCTCGTCTCTTCCTATTCAATGATGGTGACCTCTAGGTGCCGGCTGCTTGCTTCAAGTATGGACACAGACAGGCCCATCACGTTTTAAAATGCTATTGGAGGCTTATAAATAACTCTGTACCCCCAGAATTCTAGCATCCTCCCTGGGAGGCCTGCTCATCTGTCTCCCCGCACTGTTCCAAAGTACCTACAAGTTTACCATTTACAACTGCTTCCAGAAGTAGACTCTCAGAGCATCCATTGGTTCACCCCAGTCTGCAAACCTTCCTGAGTGCCTGGTGGTCTCTGTGGT